TAGAATAAAAAGCACATTTCACAAATTTAACCTCCTAAAATTATATCCAACTTATATCCAAAATATGACTTGTTGAATATGATTTTAAGTTGTACAAATCCCTCTTTTAAAGAAACATGATAAAATCTGTTACAGAATAAAAGTTACTAAAAAAAAAAAATAAAACAAGATCTTTGCTTCATAATTTAATGACCTTTCAAATGTCCTCTTAAAAAAAAGAAAAAAAGAAAAAGAAAATTTTATTTATTTGCATTTTGCTAATATCTGTAGGCATTAAAAGAACACATAATAGTACACCTACAACAATCATAAAAAATAAAAAATTTCTTAACTTTTACTATTAATGATTATACTTGAAAATATATCGTGTATTAAAATTTGACTTGAAATGTTGATATGTTATACTATTAAGAAGATTCATGGCAATAGAAGGAAGAAATTGAGGACACTGAACTGCAAATATCAAAGACAAGTATTTCTAAAATTGCAAAAAGCAAGATGATAGTGCTCCCAGATTAGACAGTCTTTAATAAAGGTGAACCTCCACTCCATAAAATCTCAATTCCTGACTGATAAATCCATTTAAATTATATCATATATGCAGACAACCAGCTAAGATGGAACATATAGACAATACTTAAAATCAAAAGACACTAAGATCTATGAATGACACTTTCATCAAATGACATCTTCATGCCATGAAAATGACCACTAAAGAGACCATCCAAAAAAAAAAAATGATGGCCTCTTTTACGTAAATGACCATCATCTCAGCCATTTAAAAATTCTAATTGGGTATTTCAATATATCAAAGTCTTTTGGTAACTTTAAGTTATTTTAATAAAATGCTAAATGAAAGAGAAAAGTTTGACAATGTTTAACTTTCATGCCTGCAAAAAAAAAAAAAAAAAAGTGTTAAAAGGACAGTTTTTCCCTTGACACTGCTATTATTTTAACTACCCTCACTCCATGACAATGTTTGTTTTAAAAAGTGATGGTTAGAACTTTAATAAAACTTAAACATATGATGAATGTGAAAGTTGTCCATACTGCTTGTACTTACATATGTTCCATCCCTTAGACTGAACACTTTTCTCCTATAAATCTAACATACCTTAAAAAACTATATTTTATCATTACACACAAAAAAAAATCAACCTAACACCAATAAAAAAAAAAGCACACTAATTATTTATTTTTAAAACTTAATATAAAATAATGAAAATGAGAACATTGACTGACATTTGTTGATACTTCTTGATGAATGGACCGAATTATACGAAAGGTCTGTCTACAAAATTCTGAAGTAAAGGTGATAAATATAGCATCAATCAGCTAAGTAACAAATTATATATATATATATATATATATATATATATATATATATATATATATATATATATAAAATTTATTGCTTAAAAACTACCAAGATATCTAATTTACAATACTGTTTTTAATCATTCAATATTTTTGTCCTGTATATAAGTAAATATAAGCATTTCTTTTGCATATCCTTGCTTCTAGAAATATTTTAATTTCTTTTGCTATTCCTGATAGAATTTTCATACTAATTCAGTTTATCTTGTATCTTCATTTGTAATGATGAGAAGACTAGACAGAATTCATCACAAACAATGCTACCATGGATATCTTTTTTTTTTTTTCTCCTAAAAGAGGATGCCATTTTTCAAGGTCCTATTACACTTGAGGGATCAATTTCAGTCATAACAATATTTTTTAAATTTTTAACTGAACTAAAAATGGCAAATTTTTAAAACCCATGAAATAAAAATGAATTTAAAAAAAAAAAAAAAATCAGGAAAACAGAAGAAATAAATTTCCTGAGAGAGGGATAGAGAAAACAATTATCTTGATTTTCATTATAAAAAAAATAATTAACTTATTAAAAAAAATAAAAAAGAAGAATAACTTATGATTATAATGTCAGCAATTATGAGAGATATGATATCTTAAAGAAAAAAAAAATAACAAGAAAATCAAAATTCTCATTCTCACACACATACAGAAAGAAATTATACAATTTTTTTTTTTTTGGTTATTGAGGCAAACAAATTGATAGAAAAATAGCCTCAATATATATATATATATATATATATATATATATATATATATATATATATATATATATATATATATATATATATATATGTGTGTGTGTATATATATATATATATATATGTATATACACACACACACATACATATACACACACACACACACACACACGCACGCACATATATATTGTAATATCTAACAAGATGAAAATTTAAGGAAAATTGTTTTCTTGTATACAAAATTCCAGCTGTTCTTTGATGAGTTTTGATATTTAAAAACTGATATTAATCATTGTAATAAATTATAATACTGAGTCCATCCTTAAAGAAAACAAAAAGAAATATTCAAGGGTAAATGATGGTGAAAAAAAAAAAAAAAAGTTTTTTGGAATAAAAAATAATAGAAATGATTTGTAAAAAAACATAACAAATTTTTCTTTCAAGTTTAAAAAAAATATCTGATATTCAAAGTTAAAAAAATGTTGTAGAGGCTTTTAAAAAATGTTTAAAAATACAAGAACACAAAACAAAAAAAAACAAGTAAAAAGGAAACAAATAAATTTTAAAAAATAAAATAAAAATCAAAGATGAATTTGAAATAAAAGATTTTATCAGGGCGAAAAAAAAAGAAGACCTTTAATAGAATTTAAAAATAATTTTTGGAGAAAAAAAATTAAAATAGAACCAAACTGAGGCATAAATGAAATGGCAACTGTTCTTCATTATATATATATATATATATATATATATATATATATATATATATGTGTGTGTGTATGTCATTTTGTTTCATTTTAGAGTCAAGTTTAGACTGAATATCAGCAGAATAATTTTTTTTGTTATTCAATAAAATATTTCAATTCATCAGAAGAGTTTTTGGCAGGTTGGTGAAAGAGCATTAAAAAAAAATTAACTTGGCCTTTTCACCTAAATTTTGTGTCTATTCTTTTATTTCATAAAAGTTGTTTAAATACTAGAAAAAGAAAGTGTGTATGTATTTCTTTTTTCCTTTTTTTTCATCAAAATGAATTTTACTCATTCTGAGTTTATTGTCTTTGCAAATTTTTTTTTTTTTTTACCCCCCCCCCTACCCCGCTTCAAAACATTTTCTTTCTTGGTCTCTCGGAATATATTGCTCTCTCACATACAAGAACTAATATTTTCTTTTGTCTTGAGAGACAAAGGTGATGGGAAAAAAAAATACCTCAGTCTTTTGTTTAATAAGATATATACACACATACATACAAACAAACATATATATATATATATATATTATATATATACACACACACACACACACACACACAGTGTCTGGAGGCAGAAGAAAAAAAATCAAATGATCTGTTTTTGTTAGGGTGGTGGCATCTTGAAAACTTTAACCAACTTAATGAGTGCATATATATATATATATATATATATATATATATATATATCACACATAAATATACAAGTTGATTTGAAATGTAGAGTTTCTTGCTCTCCTTTCGTAGTCCTTTTCTCCCCCATTCTTGCAGAAGGACTAAAAGAGAACGAGGGTGGAACAGATGAGGTCATAAAATTATACATACATAGGAATGTACCTATGTATGCATGTATGTCAGTAAATAGGTAGAAATCTATCATGAGCCCATAGTGATTTACGGAAGGTGGTAGTAGACGGGGTTAACCTGGAACAAAGGGACAAATGCATTTTTTTTTTGTTTGGAGGTCAATGTTAGCATAACAGCAGTGTACACATCTCATCTTTAAATATGTATTTTTTCTTTTTTTGAATAGTTTATCACCTTGAGAAGATTTGCTAACTATTGAGTTAAAAAAAATCTTTAGTAGCAATTTGATTATATATATATATTATATATATATATATATATATATATAGTGTGTGTGTCTTCTCTGGGGGAACAGAGAGAGAGAGAGGAAAAAAACCCAAAAACTAGCCTTACACCCTCCTCCAAATTGACATCAATATTTTAGAAAGAGCTTTTATGAATCGAAATTATTCCTTTGTAATCTTGCTACAGCTTTCTTGCAAATATGGATATTTTAGATGAAACATTAAGATTCAGCCCCCCCTTCAGGTTCATCATTATCGTTTGCTAAGACAAATATCCTTTGGAATCCTCACCATATCACAACGGTAGTTAACTGAAAATTCCTTTACAGGGATCTCAGCATCTAAACCAAGTGAATCTTCCTACTCAGGCCATTTGATAAATGGCCAACAAACTAATAAATATCTGACTGTAAGGAATAGACGTTCCATTGAATTGTACAGTATGATCTACAGGAGAGAGAGAGAGAGAGAGAGAGAGAAATAAATACCCTAATATTTAAACTTAAAGCAATTAAAGTGCTTCTTTATCGAAATTTAAAGTGGTAACGAAATAAAAAAATAATAATGGTTTGAATATTAATCCCTGAACCATAATTATGTGTATTCTCAGAAGCAGGTATCATTTTTTTAAAAATAGGGACACTATTATTTACACTATTTATATTCGGACTATTGTCCTCATCTTTGTGACTCTTGTCACACTGTTTTGGCCATTGTACTCTCCAGCATTTCTCAGGTGTATATCGGTTTGGGTAACCTACAGAGAATTCCAAAACATTGTGATAACAACAGCAAAGATGAGGACAATAGTCTGAATATAAATAGTGTAAATAATGATAACTCCACATCCCAGAAATTCAGGATACTACTATTTCATTTAATTTTCAATGTCCAATATTAGGGCTGATATCTTTGTAAATGGATTTTAAATTCCATTCTTGTTAATTGTATACATTATAAATAAAAATAAATCCTATTTTTAGTAGTAAGAATTAATTAATTTTTTGTCTTCCTCTTAGATTCCCTTAGAATGTATCATTTCTTCTAATCATCCAAGGCAGCAGTGAAGATCCTTAAAGTTTTCTTAGCTGCTAAGCCGAAACCGTTTCAACAATGGACTCCTTGATGATCTCCCCGAAATTCTGGCTCCCCGACTCACTAGGCTGGAAATGCGAGGAGTCTTTGTTTGATTTAAAGTCCGAACAAGTGTCATCCTGAAAAGCAGAACAACAACTTTCCTGTTCAGAAAACACCTGCAGATCCTCAGCAGCAGCTGATGGTATGGATGGTGCACTGCTTCCAGACGAGGTGATGAGATCTGATTCTGTGGTATTTGATGGGAAAAAAGAAGAAATGAGTGACTGATCGGAAGTTGACATTGCAGATGATGTTGCGGTATGAGAGTCATCCATGCTGTAATTGCTATAGGCAGACTCTTGTTGGTTGTGCATATCCCCTATTTTCGTAGTATCCGTTCCCTGATGGGGGTTGAAATCTAATTGATGGTTATTATTACTGTTGCCATTGTTGTAGCTGTTCATGTGGGATGAGATAGCTGGACAGTTTGTAGCCAGCTGGTCAGTTGTTGTGTCAGTCAGTGATGTGTAGATTGAAATTGGTTCATCAAAGAAGCTCGATTGGTGGATGGAACGCGACTGGTTTTCAGACCAGTTGCTGGTTGAATGGCTTGAGGGTTGTGTAGATTGGCTTGCAAATGTGTTATGGCTGTTGGATTGGGTACCAAACAGAGTGGGACCATTTGATTGGTTACCAAATGGATTGGTACCATTTGATTGGCTGCCAAACAGACTTGGGCCATTTGACTGGCTGCTGAATGGATTGGAGCCATTTGACTGACTGCCAAACGGATCCGGACCATTTGATTGATTGCCAAATGTACTTTGGCTGCTGAATGTGTTATGGTCACTGGACTGGGTATTGAATGTATTGTGGTTGTTGGACTGACCATTGAAAGCATTATGACTGTTTGAGTGACTTTCAAATGCATTATGGCCATTGGGCTGGCCATTAAATGTACTATGACCACTGGATTGACTATGAAATGTGTTATGACTGTTGGATTGGGTGTTGAATGTGTTTTGACTATCAAATGCACTATGACCGTTGGACTGAGCAAATGCATGGTGGCCATTAGACCGACCATTGAATCCACTATGAGTGTTAGTTTGGCCATCAAATGCATTGTTGCCATTGGATTGGCCATCAAATCTGTTATGCCCATTGGGTTGACTACTAAACGTGTTATGACCATTATCCAATCGGTTCATTAAGTGAGAGACTGGCTCCAATTTGTACACAGTTGAGGGGGTTGAGGAAGATGAATTTAAGTCCATGTATTTTTGGGCAAGTCCATTAGGAAGGTTGTTGTTGTTGTTGGATGAAACAAAAGATGAAGTTTTGTTGTTGTTGTTGTTGCTTATGTGATTATTATTGTTGTTATTGTTATGCTGCTGCATCTGTGATGTCTGACAGTGAGTAATATCACCTCCAACCGACGAAGATCCACTGGCACAATACTCTTGGTTGGTCTCCTCATCAAAGGAGGACAAACTCTGGTATGACTTTTGGTAGTCGTTGTCATCAAAGTTTGCACTGCTCTCGCTCGAGCACTCGCTCGTCTCTGAGTAGGAGCTCTCCTCCTGCTTGTAGCCATACAGGGACGTGTTCTCTGCATTGTACATCTCGTCATCACTGTCATTGAACAGTAAGACACGGGGCAGGGCCTCAACATGTCCATTAGGCTGCAAGCCCTCCATGTGGCCAAACTGCTGCACCGCATTCTGCTGCTCTGCTTCCATCGATGCATACTGTGCCTCTTGCATCATTACCTGGCACACTTCAGAGTTCTGGCAGTCCCGGCAACTGCCTCGTTCATTACTGTTATAATCTGTCAAGTCAATACTGCTATCTTTACTGTTTTTAGTCTCTTCTTTATTTTTGTCTTCGCTATCATGTTCTTTACTGGTTGCAGACAAATCAGAAATAGAAAGTTGCTTGTTGCTGCCATTCCCAAATGGCTGACACTCTTTCTCCTTGTTTTCTAATTCTATCCGCATAAGTGTGTGAATAAAGTGAGTCCGAACACGAATGGGATTGAATTCTATGCGTCCGGCAACATTTCCACAGCCATCTTTACTGCAACCACAGGGGAATGATAAGCGATCCACCTGGCATTTTATCCCAGCTACACTGCAAGAACAGCTCTCTGGGTCACAGAACACTTTACATTGACAACCGCAGATCTCACGAGATTGACGGATCTGACGGCAATCGTCTCTTTCTTGACTGTTGATCTTGCGGATGCCAGCTGCTCGTAGCATCAGTCGGCGCTGACGGATGGGGACTGGTTGCAGAAAGAAGTACTCATCAACTTCAAAATCACTCTCGGAGTCAGACTCAGAGTCAGTGTCCTCGTCAACTGATCGGAGGAACGCTGCACGGCCTGAGGGAATCATTTTACTACTTTGTTGCTGTTCCTTAAGGATAAGTTTGTGAATGCGTTTCTGCTCCCGAGCATAGGCAGGCACAGTGAAGTCTTCCACGTAAGAATGGCTTCCAGTCATTCCTGAATAAAAAAAAATAAAATATTAAAAAATTTTTTTTGTTAAAATGAAACATTTAATTTTTGATTAAAAGAAATAAATAAACAAAAATAAACAGCCATGTTTTACTCTGCTGATTATTTTGAAACACATTTTACAAAATTTCTTGAAAATATTTTTGTCCAAAATGAGTAAGAAATAATTTTTTTAAAAAAAATTTAAAAAGGTTAAAGCAGTTATTCTCAAAGTAGGCAGTACCATGTCCCAGGAGTCAGTAGAAAGATTCAAATGAAGTGGGCAGCAGTGGCCTATCTGAACCATAACATACACCACAGACATTGTACCCAAAGTGTATCCTGCCTTTACTTTACAGTGTATCTCATTTATATAACTGTTATATTCGGTGCTAATAGGAATATATACTTGACAAAGACAGTGGATAAATAAGTAAAGGTTTATTGTAAAAACCAGTACAATAAGAAATAAGGTATAGTTATGCGCATGGTCGTTGCAAGTCAATCCAGTAGTGGGTGCTACTATTGGAAGGTTGGTAGTTCTCGCGTAAGTCTGATTCGTACTCAACGGATCCTAGCTGGACTCCCATAGTCCGTTGCCTTATGGATACTTATAGGTAGTTACTACCTATAGTATAGTTACTCATGGGGGTGACAGGTTATTCCATTACATCAATAACAATTATTATCAGATTCATAGATACTCATTGGACATGCAATACTAGTACCAAGAAAACCCTAATCAAAAGTTGACTATGCACTGGGAGTGTTACACAATGGCATTAGTGTTGTGTTTTGGTATGCAAGGGGGTGGTAAATCCAAAAAGATTGGGTTAAAGTGTCTTTAGACGATCGTATTGTACCCAGCATGGAGTGGCCTATTTTACAATTGTCCATTAGCCTAATAATCAACTCCCTTTTTAAATGCTAATGAGTTTTTGTATATATTCATCAAGAAAACTGAATGTATTTGTGTTAAGAGTGAACTTTTCAGAACAAGCAACTAAAATTAGAAATAGGATTGTCCAATCAAATGTCAGAAATCACACTGAACAATGATGTGTAATCTTAGCAAGCTTTCAACAGAAAGGCTTCATAGATCAGTTTCACATTTTTGCCATTGATAATTCAAGTATCCTTCTGAAAATCGAGACAATACATTATAGCATATCAGCCATGTGCAATTCTCTCAAAAGGCAATAGAGCTTCAATGGACATAATATTTACTGATATGACATCCATGTTTGGTTGATTTTGTTTAGCAACATATCAACCTTTATTGGTTATTTAATGCTGAAATCTAAATATTTTGAACGCAATTTTATGCCTTCAATTTGAATTTTTGAAGAGCCTGTGAATATATTATTAGATGCAAATTCATATGTAACAGGCCAAGCCAGTTTCAATATTTCTAACACATTGAAACCTGAACCTAGTTGACTTCATAGAACTTCTGAGTAGCACCTCTTCCCCAACGAACACATTGGTATAAAAAGGTTTTCTGTTGTCTTTTCATATATATAACATTAGATTTGAACAAAAAGTTAGTACCATCAGATATAATGTAAAATTCTTACATTTTCACACTTTTTTTTTTACATTCTGTAATACTGAGATGGTGGATATGTGAGTAGTATAAGGGATACTAGTGCTTTGAGTGGAATTGGTACACAAAGTTCAGATTCTGTGCTAGTCTCTTGCATTCACTTTCAGGCTAATAATCCTTGAGAAAGGCTTAAATCTATCTCTTCTTCCCACAGCTAAACAGTTGGGTTGAACAGTCAAAGTAGTCTTTTTATAGACTCAGGTGGTAACCAGTTTTAGAGAATGAAAAATGAATTCCAAACCTTGGAGAAGGCGGTGGGAAACCACTCTGCTATCTTTCTTAGGGATGCATGACAATTCAAAAAAGAAGCTGTGGAGAGTCATGATTGCCTACGTCCAGAAGGGAGATGGCATTTTAATTATTAAATACTGATATCAGTTAATATCACTCAAAGGATTTTGACTTCAGTTTTTTTCTTCTATTGTTAACACATTTTAAATATATATATATATATATATATATATATATATATATATATATATATATATATATATATATATGTATATATATTATCCAAAATTAGACTTTTGCCATTTTATATCTTAAGGTTTATCACACTGCCTTCTGCTCATGTGTGCTTATAGTTGGTATTATTTTGGTCAAGTCATCGAAGTTTGAGCTTCATCATGACAGTTTTCTTGCTGCTGTTACAGTATAAACATGGCCGCTCTGTTAAAGAACAGTGATCCAATTTCTCTGGCTGCAAGTTATGTCAGGCACTGAAATACATCAGAAGCATGTGACAAACAAAGAAGGAGCAGGATGCCCGTCAACCTCCATCACTGATGAGAAGATTCAGCAAGCTTGAGAGATGATAATGACAAACTGGCATATTGCTATTGATGAAGTAGCATGTTCTCTGCAGATTTGGAACACTGCTCTTTGTTCTTCCTTGGTGCACACTGCAAGTGGAGCAGCCATGTTTACACTGTAACAGCTGCAAGAAGACTGGTGCAATCAAGCTCAAACTTTGATCATGTGATCACAATAGTGCCAACTATAAGCAGACATCAGCAGAAGGCAGTGTGACAAACTTAAAGATATGTTATGGCAAAAGTGCAAGTTTTTTTTTACTTACCCTTGTAATATGGAATTAATTTCCTGTGTCACACAAGATAATGTGAGGTTAGTTCAATTAGTAGTTTTGCAACAATTTTGTTTTAACTTTCAACAGTAAATAGAGAAGATGAGTAGGCACTATTTGGCAAATAAATACAGTCTTCTAATATCTGAATGTTATACCTGAGGAAGTTCAAAAATGCATTCACTGAAATTTGGTAAAAGAATGAAAAAGTAAAAAAAAAAAAACCCTTTTGGTTTAATTTTTCAACATGCATTTCTATCATTTATTTTCATTTCCACACTTTCTCTTTCACTCTTAAAAAAAAATTAAAGAAAAAAAAAATTTTTTTTTTTGTCTTTTGTACACTTTGGCTTTCAAAGTTCTGATTCTGTGATCCTTAAATTTAATTTCATAGATTAAGGACAGAGAAATAAGAATAGATTGAAAAAAATATTGTGTAGAAGATACAAAATTCCCAAAACATCAGGCACTTTAAATTTTCTTTAAAAAATGCTTAAGAAAAATATTTTCAAGTCTAAAAGAAGATTTGAATAATTCTTGAATTTATTGAAACTGTAGTGAATGTAATGTTTTCAGATTTTCATCCAATTAGAAAAGTAACTTTTTAACCAAGGCATTAAATTTGTCTATTGAAATGGATATTTCACTGGTTAAATTATTATTAAGTGTACTTTTATTCTTTAAATGTAAAGAGTTCATGGATTCTTCACAGATGAGAATAAATTGTATGCAATTGGAATTCATTAATTCTAAATTCTAGAAAAGTTAATTTATGAAAAAGACTAAATGCAATTTTATAGAGTTCATATTTGATAAAAATTTGCACACAAAAAATGCATTTACTAATAAAGTGAAAGCAAAAGAAAAATACATATACATTATATATATATATATATATATATCATACTCACTGGCCATTTATGTATACTCTTCTAAACCAATCAACTTTAACAATGATTTAAAATCACAAGGAAAATTCTCAACTGGAGACAAGACAAGAGACAAAGTCACTTACCAAGCGTAGAGCCTCCTTCACTGGGAACACATGTGAACCCCTGAGTACGGGGGAAATAGAACACAGTAACTTTATCAAAATTCACAGATTTCTTTATTTTCTTTGGTCTTGGTTCTTCTGTAAGAAGAGAACAAAAAATTTTTAATGGGGGTGATGTCATTTCAAATCATCATTTATAAAAGACAATTCTATTTGTTTTAATAAAATAAAGCCATTATACAGTTGCACTTGGCAAAGTGACTACAATTGTTGAGTTTGTAGGCGTTTGTTTATTTTAATGGGTCAATTTCAGCATAATGGGTTTGGGGAGCATGTGTGTTGTCACTCACACGTACTGCTTTCTATTTTTGTTATGTCATGAAAATTAGGGGATAAAAAACAAGAAGTCATTTTTAAATAAGGGCATTTAGATTAATACAAAGTTAGTAAGTGGGATTTTCTAAGGAAAAACCCCTGCTAAAGAAATTAATATGATCTGTATTCTGTGCTGTACTGTTTGGTTTGTGGTTAATGAAACAATTTGATTCTAATGTCAGCAGACAATGAAGGTCATGACAGTATATGCTAGACTTTTAAAGAAGGCATGTATTTGTAAAATCTGCAATAACCACTTCATCAATATTTCTATTGAAATATATAACCAGTGAAAAAGTGTTAATCCTTTCTAAAAGAAAAGTGTGTATTCTATTGTACTGCTTGAGAATCAAGATAAAGCTTGTCCATCTCTACATCTTGAAAGCCTAATTAACAATTCTTTGGGAAATTTTTATTTTTGCATTGGTTGACTGTAGTAAAATAGGAAAGAATTTAGTCTTGCTAATTCTGGAAAGATACTCTTGAATGTGGAAACAAATAATGCATCAAGTTATATCGATATGACAGTCGGAGCCTCAAATCTTAATTGGGCAGGTGAATTTCTTTGAGACTAGTTTATCCTGTAGAAACGTGTATTTAATTGTATTGCTTGAGAATTGAGATAAGGCATTTATATAATAACATTGTTCAAGTGATGAGTTGGATTCAGACATAAGGTAAGTCTTTTAAGATCTGCTATCAAACAGTTCATTTACTTGACTGATATTTCTATTTAAACTTAGAGCTATGATTCATATTGATAAATTTATCTGACAGTTACATTACTGTTGCTGTCAACAAAAGAGGATCTTCACAAAAGTGATGTCATTGTTTTCCATCAGGCAAAGAAGCTTTCAACTGATGTCCTCTCTTAAATACTGAACATGTTTCCTCATTCAAAGTTACCATTTGTTAATGACTGCCATACATGGGATTGCCAACTGCACATTCTAAAGAAACACTATATTTTATACATGTGCAGAAACAAAAAAATGTAGTTTAAAGTAATTGGTATATTCCACTGAAATAGAGAGAACCATTAAAAAGCAGTCAAGTTTGTTATTGTTTTCATATTTATAATATCCACAAAACTGTGATTTGAAATAATGGCAAAATGCACAATCAGTCAGTTATATGCCATGCGTTATACACCCTTAGGTGATCATGTGTCTTGATACATGACTGATGAGGCAGATTTTTTTCCTGCAGTAGGTTGCCATTTCTTTCTGTGGTAGACCAGTTGCCATCCAAGGCTATAGAACCCAGCCTGTCCTGCTATTCACCTATTAGGGTTGAGAAGAGGATTCATACCTTTCCCAAGGCAGTAATGGATTCGACTGGAAATCGAACTTGGCTCTCCGATTCCTCAATCGCTATCCATTACTCCACCTTGCCTCCTCCTCCAAAAAAAAAAAAAAAAAAAAAAAAAAAGAAAAAAAAAAGTACAATACAAGACATATTACAAAATTTATTTCTTTAAATAAATTCATATTAATTTTGATTGCAACATTGAAGAATACTAAAAGAATAAAGAAAAAGTGAGAGAAAAGGGGCTTCACTCCCACCACCACCACCAAAGAAAAAAAAAAAAGGGAATTGAAACAGTACAGACTGCACTGGTACCAACTAACTGGCAGTGGCATGTTGTAAAACAAATAGGAAGCAACCAAAAACCATTAAAATCAATAAAGGATTATCTTTGATTCTTTAATGAAGAACTCCACAAAATAATTTGGTTTGCAAGTTGAGAACAACTAGATCACTGGCTGGAGTTTGATTCCACACAATGTAAGAACAAAAAGAGGGGTGTGGTTGTGGTCTTTGGAGAAAGTAGATTGTGATTCCCATTTTGGTGAAACTACAGAAAGAAAAAAAAAAAAAGATACGAAATAACAAAAAGCAGGCAGACAGAGGAAAAAGCTAGAAAACGCAAAAAAAAAAAACAAAAAAAAAAAAAAAAAAAAAAACAGACGAGATTATTTGGATGGGAATGCTGAGAAGTAAGAAAAGTAAAATAGTCTTCCAAAGAGAAAACAGAATCATTAAAAAAAAAAAAAGATATGAAATCAGTAGTAAATAAAAAATAAAAATTCTAAACAAATCTGAATTTGAAAATAAAGAAAGAAAAAAAGGAAGGATAAAGAGAGAGAGAGAGAGAAAAAAAGAAATTGAGAGGGCAAAGTAAAAAATATTCAAGATCTAAAACTTAAGAAAAAAAGTTTGCAAGAGAAAAATAGTTATATAACCAACTCGATTTTTAATAATATAACTTATATTAATTTTAATAATATAACTTTCCCCATTGTGAATTCATTCATGTGCATGAAGATTTAGAGAACGAAGTGAATGTATCTGTTGTTGAGGAAAGAAGAGAGTAACTGTATCGCGTCGGCTCGGCTGATAAGCACTTCATCATAGTCAGTCAGAGTGGGAAAAGAAGCCAAGTCTATTTCTGTACATTTTCATCTGCACAGAGAGAGAGAGAGAGAGTGAAAGCGCGGCTTGGAGAAGCAAAGGCGAAGTAAGAGGAGAAGCAAAGAGCAGAGAGGAGAAAAAAGCCGTCGCAGCCATTCATTTACAATACATTGTGCCGCTTTGATTGTGTCCTAATCAATGATACACAGGGGAGACAACCACAATTACCTGGCTACAGGACTGTAGTTATTTCCCTTAGTCAACAAGTGGCTGACTGTTTAATTAAACATGTGAATTGATTAATGTCGTTTACGTCGAAAGCAGCAATGGACAAAGATTGGTTACGATTTGGTCAAAACCATTGTCTGCGAGGTTGTGTATAAAACTTGGAAAAAGGAAGACGAAAAAAAAGAAAAGAAGTTTTGGTTGAGGATGAAGTCAGCTAAAGAAGTTTTTGTATAACATTTTCTTGAAACCACATTCCAGCCAACAAAATTTGGGTTGTGTCACACCTCTTTGGTACTAAGCATTTTTTGTAACAAAAACATATTTTGAAAATATCAAACACATAATTGATTTTGAGCAAACGGTGATTAAAACAATGTGTAAAGTTTAATACCAGGTGCCAGGTAAATGAGGATCATTGACTACAGGGTGGACCAAAAGTAAGCATACAGATGTTTAATTATTTTATTTATATACCGATGTGACTTTTTATGTTTTACAGGTATTGTGAATAATGGCAAATAATTTAAGTCAAGAACAAAGAAAGTGGATTCTAAAACAGTATTGGCAGTTTGAAAATGCTGAGAAGGTGCGTAAAGCGTGGGGAGAAGTATTCAACATTGTCCCACCAACACTTATTGACATTGATATGGATTGGAATTTGTGTTGTACTGTGTGTGTCACAATGTTCTGGAGAGTTTTGAGGAATGTCGCAAGGTTGAAGGAGGACATTTCGAGCACTTATGAGATTAAACAGTGTTAAACAAATGTAATTGTAATAAATAAATGTAAAATGTAATACAATGTAAAAAAAAAAAAAAATGTAAAGTGTATATCCACTTTTGGCCCACCCTATATAATCAATATACTTGCAAAATCATTTTAAATGGTGTGTATATGGATATAATCCTAAATGATGGCTCAGAAATTAAGTTGGTTTTGTGGATAAACCAGAGTCCTCGCCCACTGGACAGTCAAAGAATTTTACACAATGGTTTGTTTTTTTTTAAACAATGGTTTAATTTTTTTCAATTGTAATTATATATCAATTTTCTTAGACAAGTGTATCTCATCTTGGTTTTTATTATCACAATGATTCGGCTGTTGTATGCCCAGCCTTTCATTCAATTCATGGAGTGATGAGCAGGCAAGAGACACTTCTCATTTTGCTGAAAATCTCATCTTTGTTCATTCTTCCAATTTGTCTTTGCAATGTCATTTGTCTCTTTCACTGAACCAAAGTATATTTGACATTCTGTGTTACCTGACCCATGAGAATGAACTAATGTTCTGTAATGTTGGTCCCCAATTTTCATGTCAGGAAACAACAGGTTAGTGAGGATTGAGGCAAACTTTTGTTTGCAGGCAACAAAAAGATATTCTTGTTTGCTCTATATAAACTTACAAACAGGAATGATGTTTGTTCATGAAAATTCAACAATATCACTGTGACTGATATAAGACAAAAAAATTCAGTGTTGTGCAAATCAGACAAGAGATAGTTTATTTTGTAAGGAGGTTGATTTTAAAGAAAAAGAATTTTTAAATGAATTCTTTCCTGTTTACTTTTTTCCATTCATGATATATAAAATACCAAGAAGAAAAATTTTAAACACACCATATCAAAAAGAATTTCCATATCAATAATAAAGTGAAAATCTGCAGATCAAAATCTGCCTTAAGACAATGAAATCTTCAAGTGGGCCTCAAAAGAATTGGTTTTAGCAAAAGCTAAGAACAAGATCTTGGAAATATTTTGCTAGTGTTGGTTTTGAAAAGGCTTTTGTTTTACTCAAGTGATTGTTTATCATCTGGCTAATTTTCTACACTGATAAAGACAAAAGATAGCAAAATCATTGTTTGATCACTTGGTCTTGTTCCAACAAACAGATCCATTAGAATTCAAATGGAGAGAATCAGTGGAAATTCTTGTAGCATAATCGCCATTTGGCATTTTGCATGTAAAAAAACAAAAAAAACAAAAAAAAACTGCAATTATTGCTCCACTGCAAGTTTTAAGGAAGCTTTCAAACATTTTCATTACAAAAGCCAAGTCTTCACTTTTGTCTACAAGGGAATGGGGAGAGCTGTTACCAACTCATTGGCTTTAAGTTTGTAAACTG